TGATTTGGTAAGCGTCGCGCGGCGCAACGCGCCCGAGAGCAGTGAGAATTCAAATTTTATGTACCCTGCTGCAACCCCGTGGTGACCCACTGACAAGACATTTTTGGTATTATGGTAAACATTTTGTCCGTTGACTACTTTTTAATATCTTCCACAGAAACCGAGATATATAAGCTCAAAGTTCGCGGTTTTGAGAGGGGTGGGTTCTATCAGAGAAAATACGGTATCTTGCACAATACTTTTATAGAAGCTTTCAATATTTTCAGAGTGGACTCATTGCGATTTTCCCCCAACTTGGAATGTGTATTGTCACTCTCTCCTCTGGCCAACTCTCTGATTACCTCCGATCTTCTGGAAAAATGAGCACTGAAGCCGTCCGTAAATCTGTGAACACGTTTGGATTCGGAGTCGAAGCTATCATGTTGGGATGTTTGGCTTTCATTAGAGACCCCGTTATTGCTGTTACCTGTTTAATTATCGCTTGTTCTGGAGCGGGTGCAGTTCTTTCTGGATTCAACGTCAATCATTTTGATATTGCTCCAAGATATGCTCCAATTTTGATGGGTATTTCCAATGGATTAGGAGCTATTGCAGGAGTTGGAGGAATCGCCACAAATTCGATGACTTTTGAGGTGAGGATTACTGTACTAAAAAGACTTTGTGTAGTGTGAAAAGTACTTCCTTTTCGGTGATGTTTGAAACTTTAATGGGTGCTTGTCTGGCGAATCGAACGGTATCAATGAGAAAAAATTGTTTTCTTAAGATTTTTCGAGGCTAGAACAGAAAATCTAATGATCAGAGAGCGTATTAGTTTGATTCAGTTTGTTTTATTGTTTCGGAGAGAAATTTATGACCAAGTTGATAAGGATTTATATAAATCTAGGAGGTTGTGAGGTTGAAAATATTCGAAAAAGGGGCGAAAAAAGCAAGGAGTTCAAGAACAGAAAAATAAATAAATAACTGAAGTCTCGAACTCCTAGAAGATTAAAGTTGGAATCTGAAACTCTATCTCGCTCTTAACATCTTAATAAATTTCAGAATAAGAGTATAACTCTCTAGAAACTCTTGAATCTTATACAATATCAGAAGCCTTTAGAATCTCAGAATTTCTCATAAGTCAGAATTTAGTCAAACATTTTTTCCAGAATCCCGACGGCTGGAAGTGGGTGTTCCTATTGGCCATGTCCATCGACATTTGTGGAATCATCTTCTTCCTTGTCTTCGCTAAAGGAGACGTTCTGGTATGTTCCTGCTTTCCCTTCCAGAATTTTCAATCCAAATTATCAGCAAAATTTCAATAAAAATTTCAATATTTCAGCCATGGGCTCGTGAGCCAGAAAAGGAGGAGACATTCAACGAATTCGTGCGACGAATGTGTACGTTGCTTGACATGAATTTTTTGATGATAACTTTTAATAAACCCTCCCTTGCTTTTTACTAACTTCGTTCGTTTCCCTTTGTTTATGTTTCGTTTATTTCGTTTATTGCTCATTTATTTCTCAGTTTTTTATGTTGTTTGCTTCTTTTGAATGGTTTGATTTGATGGGCTGACTCATAGTACGAATGAGAAAATTTTCAGCAACCATGGTCAGAAGTTTGTCAAAAAGAACAAGGAGTCGCAGTACTGATACCAACTATGCAAAGTGAGTTTTTGGGGAATACGTTATTGGAAATTTTCATCACTCGGTCTACGAATTTCATAATAGTCATATTCCTATTACTCTGATCTAATTTCAATGCGCGATTAGGCCAAGCTCCGCCTCTTGGAATTTTTAAGAGCATTTAAATTTGAACAGCTGAATAATCATACTCTTATTCTCATTCAAAAGAAATTTCAGAATGGAAGAAGAACGTGTGAACTCTTCAGAAATGAAGGCGTGCAGCAAAACAACAGAAAACGAGGTTTCACCATCCGAAGATAATGTACTAAACGAGACGCAAGCAGTCGGTGGAAATTTAGAAGTTGTTCCAGAAGAACCATCGCAAAAGAATCTGAAAACGGATAGACCTGAAGTTTAGGCGATGCGCTTTTTTCCTACTTTTTTTACATGCTTTTTGTAACAATATTTATGCATATTCCCAACTTCCTTCCACTCTGATCGATCTCCCTGTAAGTGTCCCTTTCCTTCAGCGAGCATTTTTTTCAAAGATTTTTTTGACTGATGGCCATGTCGTCATAATATGTTCTAACCCAAATTCTCTGACGTCTTCAGATTTTTTTTCTTTTTCTTTTACTCATTTTCTCTTTTCTGTCCATCCAATTTTCTTCCACTTCAAGCTAGTCACGTTTTATGCTCTCACAATTCCATTCATCATTCATTCAATACATCACATAAACTTGTTTCAACTCTTCCTCTTTCCAAAATCCATTCTTTTGTACATTGTTTGCCGACGACTTCCAATTGTAATCGGAACTCGGAACATCCTCGTACCATAAATTACCGTATTCAAACTGCAAACAAATAAAGTGATTTGAACTTAATGCTGTGTGTTCCTTACAATGAGCATTTTTTGGGGAGAGCATGTCACCCAAAAAAGATATCCGTACAGATCGGCAGTACACCAAGGATCATATTCTGGATATGTGTATTTGAATTTTTGGGTGTAGCCTCAAAGAAAGATTATTAGATTTTTTTTGGAGGCCTAGATATTTTAGTCTTGGTATTTTCCGTTTGTAAATAAATTCCAAGTCATATTTTCTCTAATAGAGACCTATCCAAATCATAAATTTTTGACCTCAATTATCTCGATTTCTGTAAGAAATACCAAAGATATGTTACCGTATTTCCTCTAATAGAAGCCCACACTGGCTGTGCATTTTTCTTTTCGGTTAGTGCAGACATACTCTTTTTTGTTTATTTTTCTGGTAAATACCGTTAGTTCCTGTCGTTTTATAACTATTCCAGTTCAGTTATAAACCGAAAACCGTATATTTTGAGCGTTTTCTCTAATGTTAGTTCACCCCCAGAAAGAGGTTGAAAAATAAAATCTCATGGGCCTCTGTTAGAGCAAATACGGTAACTAATAAAATATTGGCGATTTTATGAACAGTAATATATTAGTTGACAGGTTTTTGATACCACAGGAATCTAGATATTTGAGCTCAACTTTGACTGAGCGGGTGGCCTTCTATTAGAGGAAATACGACAACTGAACACTATTCTTTCAAAATCGTTTTCTTTTTGGTTTTCTCAAATCATTTTCTGAAAACTCTATCTAAAAAATGTTACTCACTTGCTCCTCCAACCCAATTCGTAACATTTCCATCTTTGTTTATTTCCTCATACATCACAAATAGGTCCATATTCATCGGATAGCTATCTTTTGATGAGATTGTTAATTCAAACGAGTCGTTTATCTGGAATAATGTTGTATACCGAAGTACCGTAAACCATACTTGTAACGGGCCCGGCGGGCCTGTCATTCCACAAGTTTTGAAAATTTCAAAAAACACATAAGGGGGAACCCTTATGTGATTTTTTTCGAGTTTTTTAAAAATATTTTTTGATCAAACAGACAAACAATCCAAAGAAACACAAAAAATTGAGAAAATTGTATTGAGAGCTCAAAATGTGGCTCAAAATGACAAAATTTTTGCTACCAGGCCTTCCGGGCCGGGCCCGGGTCTTGAAAATTTCCTCAAGCCCGTCCCGGGCCGGGCCCGGAATTTTACAAGTATGCCGTAAACACTCTAATATTATAGAACGCTCCCCAAACCGGTAACTTTGAGCCTAGAAAACTAATTTTCTGTAAAAGATAACAAAAATAAGTCAACTTTTTCTGGGGCATGACCTTATTTTTTCTAGGTCATGACCAAGTTTTTTCTAGGTCATGACCTAATTTTTTCTAGGTCATGACCTAATTTTTTCTAGGTCATGACTTAATTTTTTCTAGGTCATGACCTAATTTTTTCTAGGTCACGACCTAGTTTTTTCTAGGTCATGACCTAATTTTTTCTAGGTCACGACCTAGTTTTTTCTAGGTCATGACCTAATTTTTTCTAGGTCACGACCTACTCTTTCTAGGTCACGACCTAATTTTTCTAGGTCACGACCTACTCTTTCTAGGTCACGACCTAGTTTTTTCTATGTCATGACCTAAATTTTCTAGGTCACGACTTAATTCTTCTAGGTCACGACCCAATTTGCTCCATCCTGTAGAGGAAAAACTTCCAAGCTGAAATAATTAAGTTACCCTTCCGATCCTCCTCAGTAATCGAAATGGAGACGATATTGACTGCAAAAAATCTACCAATTCCGGACGAAAATCTTTGGAAAAAACAGCGATATCCATGTCCTCAGTGTGAGGAATGATTCCACATTCTCTGTACCAACCTGAAATTTTTCTCATTGTTTTTCTAAATACTTGTTTCTATGCTAACCTAATAAAGTACCTCCATTCAAAAATGAAAAAATATTAAATTTCAACAAAACATCCCTAAACTCTGCCAATTTCCCTGCCGCTGCTTTTCCGTGGTTGGGTTGTTGAGTCTGTTATTTTTCAAAAAATTGCTCATTACAACTGACATCATTTTACTTCCTCTGTTACCTTTGTTCTATTCCTATGAACTGGCAACCCTAAACATTTTGCTCGTTTCCACATTTCAAGGAACATTGGGATGTTTGTAGGGATACTCAGGTTTCCAATGGAATACGTTTCAAAGTTTCTTAAATTTCTAGAATTTTTTATATTCTTTTTCGATCCCTCACTTGGGAATCACTCTCGTCGGCTGCGTTGAAAACTGCAAATAGTCTTTGTTTGTTCGATTGTTCATCTCAACAAATTCGAAAAAAAGAAGTGACTCATTATCTCTTTTCTTCACGTACTTGCTATCAATCGCCACCTGAAGAGAACAAAAACATATGATCACCCGGAAGTTTTAGTTATGTTGTACGTACCTTGATTTTCAGCATTTTATGTTTTTCACATTGTTCATTATGAAGAGATTGTAACACGTGGTTGTCAATTAGAAGGGCTGGATAAGGAACAAATAGGGATTCAAGGAATAGAATGCATTGAGGAGATGTAACCTGGAAACATTTGAGAATGTGTTCACCGTATTTCCTCTGATAGAAGCACACATAAAATGTCAGCTTTGAGCTCAATTATCTCAATTCCTGTGAAAGATATAACAATTTGTTTGACAAAATGTCAATTATAATATCACAAACATTTTTTTCAATTGACACATTTTTGATATCTTCCACAGGAATCGAGATACCGTAAACACTCTAATAGAACGCCACCCGGACCGCCTACTTTAAGCTTATATATCTCATTTTCTGTGGAAGATATCAAAAAGTGGTCAACTGATAAAATGTTGCATGATAAACATTTTCTTAGTGGACAATTTTTTGATATCTTTCAAAAGAAGTGAGATATATAGGTTCAAAGTGGACGGTCCGGGTGGCGTTCTATTAGAGTGTTTACGATAATTAAAGGGGCCAGACACCAAAAAAAAAAGTTTTTTTGATATTTTGCCTAGAGAACCCCCATGCGGAGTTGAACTCATGACAAGCAGCTCAGGGGTACAGCGCCGCTACCGGCTGAGCTACGGGGGCCCGAAAGCGCCTGCCTACCGATGGCCTACATAAGCGCGCCGCGATTTCGTCCCCCAAACTGCCCTCAGAATTTTTGCTGTCTCGCCTCCTTTAAGATCAAACTGTACATTTTGCCTCTGAGATTTAAAGGTTTTGAGAATATGTTTTGAATATGACTGTGACTTTTCAAAACTCAGAATTTAGAAAATTCTGGATGTTTTCAATTCTGATACTCTGAGATTTTCAAAATCCGAAACAGCAGAACTTTTAGAAAAAAACAGAAAGTTTCAGAATTCTCAATTGGTTTGGTGCATCGAACTAGCAGTCCGAATTTCGCAGTTCGATTCTGCATCTATTTTTTGATTTCTTGATTTCACTTTGAACTACAGTAACCCAAGAACCCAATTCGCTTAATTGGTTTCTCAGAAATTGTTTCAACAACTAATTGGGCAATACTTCACGCGCAACATAACGATCTGTCATAAATCAAGATGATACAGTTTCATCTCTTCTGATCTTTGTATCGTTTCTTTTTTTTCTTTCACATGATTTAATGACGCTTTGCCAGACTGTACTCGTAAAACTAACTAACTGGTTTGATCAAGATGTTTCTGAACTTTTTAGTAACCTTTCTAGGGACTTAAAATTTGAAATCTTACCTTTTTCGAATCCAATGAAACTATAATTAAGTCATAATCAGCTTTTCTAATTAACAAGTTTAAATATACGAAAATTATTAGCAAAAAGACACAGAATTTAAAAATTATAAACAAACTATTACGAATCATAAATTCAATTTGAGTTAGAATGTCCTTAACTTCAGATGAAGATCTCAATCTTCTAGAAACAATCTTTGTAGATCGCCGAATATGATTTTTTGAAAGGTCAACACAATCTAGAATGAAGTTGTTTATTAGGGCAGCAGTTATTTTATTAGATTCTTATTACAGATAGATTCTCATTACGGATGGTAGTGACTAGAAAAATAAGTGAAGTTTTCTCGATAGAGAACATGGCCAAATTGTAATATCGTTCGAAAAATATTACAACAAAATAAATATCGTAAACACTCACCGAAGCTCACCGTATTCTTGCACTTTGAGCCAATATATCTCGGTTCTTGTGACAGTTATCAAAAAGTAATCAATTGACAAAATATTTTTACTATTATGTTAAATATTTTGTCAATTGACCACTTTTTCATATCTTTAACCGGAAATGAGATATATGGGCTCAAAGTTAAGAGGTCGCCCGCATAGTCCGCCGGAAGGTGCCAACCTCCTAACTTTGAGCCAATTTATCTTGGTTTTTGTGAAAGATATCAAAAAGTGGTCAACTGACAAAATATCTTTGATATTGTGATAAAAATTTTGTCAGTTAAAAACTTTTTGGTATCTTTTAGAGTAACCGAGATATATGGGCTCAAAGTTGACGGCGTCCTATTAGAGTGTTTTTGGTAATTAGGAATGTTGGGAAGTGAGGTATAGGGGATGTAGAGGGTAGATCATTGAAGTTGATAAGGATCCGCGTTCATCGGTGAATTACTTCTCAAAGAATCACAAAGCTCATCGAAAAGAATCTGCTGGTCCTGAGAAAGACTGACATATTCTGGTCCAGCGTGTCGGAAGTTGAAGATTCCAGCCATCTGAAAGATATTGTTTAATTAGGAATTGTTTCTTTTTTTTCTATCAACCTGTCTCTTGACCATTTTCATCAGATTAGTTCTGTACATCAGTTTCTGCTTATCAAATTCGAGTTCAGCAAGTTTGAACTCCCAGTGGGCGATATTCATGGAATGCAATGCTCTGGACTTTCGAGATCCATATGTATTTATATTTATTCGTTTGAGTTTCATATCGTTATTTGCGACAGTATGAATGTTCACCTTGACTTGATAGGTCTCCGCTAGCTTTTTCAAGTTCTCACAATTATGCTTTCTTCTGTCACTTTCCAAATTGATTTCCCGAATTCTGTTGTACAGAGTTGTTTGGTCCATTATAGTTGGAACTCCTTCATTCTCCGGTATGACAACAACGGTACCGGTGAACAAGTAGCAGTCCTTGATCATGTTCTTGATCTTCTTTTCCTCCATTTTCAGTTGTACAAATTCATTTTTTTTCTTTTCATAGTCTTTTTGCAGCACCGCTTCTTTTTGCTTCTTATTCTTGTTATAATTCTTACTGTTCTTCTTGTTCGCCTCTTTTCTTCTTTCCTCCAACTCCCTTTTCGACATATTTCTTTTCTGAGTTTTCGACAATCTCCGGGTTTCGATGTCAGTTGGAAGACATGGAAATTCGCTGGGCGTTCTGCTGTTGGCTGAAAATCTCTTTTTCAGTTTCTATGGAGATCCTCGAGGTCTTACCGTATGGAGAAGGTGTGTATTCCGATCCGCTGTCGTCCGAAGAAGAAGAAGAAGAATGTGTTGTGGAATCTGAAAAAATAGTAAAGTTGAAGAAAAAAACCTTTTTTGTCAATTATCAGACTCGATCGGAAATAGAGACGCATGATGAGTTTTCTAGTTGATAACGAAAAAAAGTCGGGAAAAGTACTGTAGTTGTGGTGAGTGAGTGACCTATGCTTTCAAAAATGGGAACTGTGGAAAAAAACGACGGTGGCCGTGGCCTAAGTTCCCACAAAGACAACTACCGTAACCAAAAATATTTTTATTTTCAGGATTATCTCAAACTTGATGAAACCTAAAATTGTGAATTAAGTACAGTTAAAGCTGGAAAATAAGTATAATAATAACATGTAGTTTTAAATTTTGATTTCTGATTTTTGAGCTTCAAGGCGCATAGACCAAAAAATTTGAAAAATCGAAATTCGAGAATTCTAGTCATGATTATACTCGTTTTAAAGCTCTTTTTATGCTAAACTCTACTATACCAAAATTTTCATGACTGGACAAAATTAGCTCAAGTTACAGTAATTTCAGATTTTGAAAACCGTCCACTTGTGTGACTAGAAACTTCGTAGCGCTCTTATTTTTCGTTTAACTTCAATTTATTTGCTAGATTTACATTTCTAATGCTAAGGGCTTCAAAATGAGTATAATCATGATCTACTTCAGATAATTTCAATTCAAGACCCCTTTTGAGACTTTAAACTCAAAGCTTCGAATTTAAAGGCATAGCCATGTTCACACTAGTTTTGAAGCTCTTAACGCAACAAATTCGAAATTGTTCAAAAGTTTCGATTTGGAGCAAAATACAGGATGTTACGGTATCTTATTTAGAGATATACCAGCTCTATAAAGTTTAAGGCCTATCAGAAATATCAACATCTTTTTTTTTCAAAAAAATTATCTTAATTTGATCTTAATTTCTGTTGCTCTGAGCTCTCTTATTTTAACTTTATCTAGATATCAACCGGAAACCTCTTATCACTAAAGATAATGATAATCAGAACAATAATTGTTTCCGATGTTCATCATTAGTCACTCATTTTTACTCAACTTCCAAGACTTCTTATGAGTCAGCAGCTATCAGCAAGACGCAGACAACATAACACTTATTTTGCAAAATTGAGACTGGTTTTTTTTGCGGAGGAATATTTTTTTAAAGTTGTACTCACCATCTGAATCCTCCAGTAGGGTCACTGGGTGCTGATTGATAGACATCTGGTTTATTCCGAGGGAGACTGAAATGATTTGAAAATTTAAATACAATGGGACTGTTTTTGTTTATATCAGAAAGGCTTTTGAAATCTCTGAAAACAATAGAAAATATATCCAAAACCATTATAATTTGTTATTGCTAGCTGACTCACTGTCCTGATCATAACTGTAATGATAGTCTGCTGGTGCATTGTTGACTTCTGGAGACGTCACCGATCGTCTGACGTCTTCTGAATGAGTCGCGGATCGACGACGCATTTCGTAGAGTTCTAAACTGACACGAAATAATTAATCTACAACTGACCCTCCTTTTCTTATGCCTCTTCCCTTGCTCATCCTTAGTGATTCCTCAGTCTAAGTGAATCTAGAAGAGGGCGGAGACACCAGAAAACTCACTTGTGTTCAGCTTTTCCGAAATTAGTGGATAATCAATGTGGACTTGATTATTCTGCATCTGAAGTCTCATCGCTGAATCTTCTGTCTGGATTACTGGAGGATACTGGGACCATGCCGAAGATCGAATCACAGCTTCATCCTCTTCCGGAATATTTCTATCGTTTTCGGTCTGGAAATTTCAAGTTTTTGAATTAAAACAATTGTTTTGATGTGCCTTTTTCTTACCAATCTCCCTGCGTTGTGCTCCAAAACCTCCATAATGTCATTCAGGTTGTTCGACATCTGCAATGATCAGGTTGGCTGAAACTGTATAAATCAAAATGATGAAAAGAGAAAGAAGACGACGATTGGCAAGACGGTACCGTACGCTTTTTTCGCGATTCTTTTTTTTGTAATAGAGTTCAAATCGAGTAACTTATGTATAAATTCAAGTGGGTGGATCTTCGGGGTTTCCCAGCAAAAATAACGAAAGCGTTACTCATCTGTGGATGCGCAAAAAATGATGACTAATTTGATCTTCAGCCGAAGAAAAGTGACTACTGTCAGTGGATATGACATGTTAAAATTTGATAACAGCCAAAACCCTGCAAACTCCGTAAATACCGTAACCACTCTAATGGAACGATATATGTGCTCAAAGGTAAGAGTCCCACTTTCAACTTTAAGCCCATATATCTCATTTCCTGTAAAAGATATCAAAAAGTGGTGAGCTGATAAAATGTTGGTTATAACATCTGAAATATTTTGTTACTCAATCACTTTTTGATATCGTTTACAGAAGTTGAGATAAAATGGCTCAAAGTTAAAAAGTAGGCGCCTGCCGGCTGAGCTACGCTGTCGGCTCCCGACCCCTTATCTTTGAGTCAATTTATCCGGATTCCGGTGAAAGATATCAAAAAGTGGTGAGCTGATAAAATGTTATTCGTAATATTAAAAATCTCTTCTGAGTTGACATCTTTTTTTAATTTTTCACAGAAACCGAGATGAATTGGCTCAAAATTAAAAAATCGGCGCCTTCCGGCAGAGCTACGCGGTCGGATGTTCCCCTCTTAACTTTGAGCTCATATATCTCGGCTCCTTTAAGTGATATCAAAAAGTGGTCAGCTGACAAAAGATTTCTGATATTATGATAAAAACTTTATTAGTTGACACCTTTTTGATATCTTACATAGGAATTGAGATAAATTAGCTCAAAGTTAATAGCTTACGGTAACCCGACAAAACTTGGTCATCTATTGGGTGATTGATTTCTTTACTTTTTAATGAGCTCTTTTTATTCAAATTTTGCATGTTTATAGTTTTAGATGTGTTCTACAATTTTCTAGCTGACACCTTTTTTGTAGCTCTTTTCTGAATGTTGCTGCAGCTGGAGCGAAAAACATCACACTTGTTAGCCAGGCCTTGGTCCTCGTTTTGAGGGCCGTGCCATAATTTCTTCCAGAATTAATATTTTGGACCAAGTAAATTGGATATGATAAAACTTGACGATTAATACAAAATGATACTATTTGGAAAATTGTATCTTGTCTATGAGCAAAGTTATATGCAATTAAGTGGCGGATGCGTGCCGGGCAGGGTGATGCCTTTTTTTCGGGTAGTGGTTTGAAGTTTCTGAACTACAGTAACATCTTAACTCCAAAACAGAACCAACCACTGAAATTCAGACAATAAATTATGTTTATTTTCAATCCTAATTGGAAAGTCCATTTCCTGGGCTGCCATATAGAAGTTACCGTAACCTTGGCAGGAAGTTACGAAACTTTTTATAGTACAAAAATGATAATTTTTCTCATAGTAAATGAGTAATTCAGAAGACATCTCACGAAATATTACATCTTCTGAACAAACATTTTTAGACGCAGTCGAGTCATCAGAACCACTAATTAGACACACAAATTATTTCCTCAGTTTCCGCAAAAATAGGAAAAAGTGAAACGAATGTCTTGTCTAATCACTGATTAGAAGGCATATCATGTCTAAGGAAAAAAATGCTCTTTAGAAAAAAAGACAATTGGTGTCCACTCGAAAAGTGACGTATAGTATAAGCTGAGGAATGGCTCCGCCCACTTTTCTCTCAACTTTTTTCCTCAAATGTTTGTTCAGTTTGAGCGATTTTTTGAACCCAATTATTTTTAAAGAGTAATTGAAGAACTAGAAAACCACAGTTTTCTGATAAACCTCGTATACATATGGGGGGACTGATCAACTCAAAAATGACGTGCTTCCCTTGAGGAAGAAGACACTTTTCTTATCAGAGCGGAAGTTTTCGTTTGAAGAGCGCGGTCACTTCGCAACCGACTACACTTTTTTGGGGTTTTGAGGTTTTGAGGTTTCTTTTATTTATTTCAATCAAAAAGAATAAGTTATCATTATAATATAAAAAAGCACACACAAGAAAAGAAGGACACGTATAACACACATACACTCAATAGGTTATATAGCTGTTCGGAGAAGAGCAATTTTCGGCACACCATGCAATAGGGATTCAGTTTTCAGACACCATTCCGTCTACCATCTACAATTTACAAACACAAAAAAAACAAAAATCTACAAGCTGTTATGTTGGGGAGCAAATTTATGAGGTTCGGCACGGGAATGATAAAAGTAAAGGGCGGTTTTGGAAATGTTCCAGCCTGCGGTGAGAGTGGCGACAAAGAACATAAAAATGAATGAAATTGGATATAAGAAGTATTGGGTCTTGTGTAGAATTGGAAGAGCTGTGTAGCCGAGGAATGTGATGTAGACGTAGTAGCAGGCTGCAAGGAACCAGAACGTATTCCCAAGGAACACTGACAGAAACGACGGCGAATCGATTAATGCTGAAATGTCTTTCTTTTTTATGGGTAGTACATCGATTTGAACTCACTTGGATAAAGGATGGGAACAATCACATGAAGAAGAATGAGCATTGGGAAGAATGCGTTTAGATGCACATCAAAACAGTATCCCCATTCGACGTCTTGGTCTCGAACTTTCCGAAGAAACCTGTTCGATACCCACCAAAGAATAGTGGCAATCACAACTCCAACAGCGATACAGTCAACGAAAACGGACCAGAGGAAGAAAGTGAAGAAGCCAGTTTTAGACAAGCCAAGCGCATATGCGTAGAAGATGGAAGAAAACAAAAGTGAAAGAGACAACAGCACTAAGAATGCTGGATCATCTCTTGCAAATTGGTCTTTAGTACCTGGAAATGACACAAATCTCGATTGAAAAAGTGTTTTGTGAACCACTTACGCTTTCTATAAATAAAATTTTTATAAACTTTGGAGGGTTGAATAAGGAGATAAAGCATTTGCCAGAGAGCAAACTCGAAATCCATTTGTCTGATATGTACAAGACGTCGTGTAAACCGGGACAGCTTTGCGAATGCGGACATCCTCACTGCTGTTAGACAACCGACACGGTCAGCAGTAGTACTGAAAACAAGCTTCATTTTTAGCGTCCAATATTAGACTCAAATATTACCTGGTCGAATAAGTAGAGTACCCTCCAGGAGATGTATAACCGCTTCTCGCTGGCTCGTATCGAAAATTTCGTTGAGAAATTGGAGATGTCGTGGGGCTGAACGAAGGGCCGGGTTGAACTCCAGTAGCGCGTGGCTGTGAGCTCATGACATAAATGATCTGATCAGTTCTGAACATAATTATAAGTAAACTGTACAGTTTCTTCTTCAAGTAATATGAAAGGTGAAAGAAACACCACAAATTGAAATAACGAAATTGGGTTATTTAACAGAATAATTTATTAATGAAGTTTCTTTAAAACTGATTCAACCCATCCAAAAGAAAATGAAGAAAATAAATAAATGACGATTTTTGGTAGAAACTATCACATTTGAGGTGCTCGGTGTTGAATGGAAATCTGAAAAGTTAGCACCATGAGAGCCAGAAATAATAAAATAAGACCACAAACCTTCCGAGTTACTTGTTTTTCTGGTTGGCGCTCAAGTAGTGGAAGAGGACGACGAGCATGAGCATCGCAATTCCGAGAATGTTAGCACAGATTCCGAGTTGAACGTCGCTGATCATGGCTAGAATTAGATCGGTTTTAGATGTGAAACACCGGAAAAAAATGGATGAAATTTGGCAAAACGTCGACAAAAAGAGAAGACAGGGCGCAATTGCAATGCCAAGCTGGCGATTCTCTGCGTCTCTCGCTTTTCCATCGGTTTTATCGATTTCCTCTTCTCCGGACACTCTCTCTTCTGCGCTTCGTAGTGACCCTTTTCTCGGACCGGCCAGCATTCCCCTTAATTCATTTTACAACTAACTTTACGATGAGCCAGAAAACTGAGCAAGATGACATTCCGCTCGCTGATGACGGTAAGAGATGATTGACAGACGAGGTTCTGAACAAGGCTTTTTAGATGATACCGTGACTATCATCAGCGGTGGAAAGACTCCAAGAGCGGCACAACCATTGCCAAAAGAAGAGCCACCAGAGGATCCAGAAGAGAAAGCGAGACTTATCACTCAGGTTCTGGAGCTTCAGAACACACTTGATGGTGAGTCACAGATCTGATTTGAATTCCGAGAAGAGCTTCCAAATCATTTCAGATCTCTCACAACGTGTTGAATCGGTGAAGGAAGAAAGTCTAAAGCTACGATCAGAAAATCAAGTTCTGGGACAGTACATCCAAAACCTGATGGCGTCTTCGTCTGTATTCCAGTCTTCACAGCCACCACGGCCGAAGCAGTAGGTGTTGTGTCGTCCTTCTTTTTCCCCCATTCCCTCGCTTCCTAGGAGCTTCTCGCAAGTATCATGTAACATCCCTCAATCCACGTGTACATTTTTGAACACTCGATTGTATACCCTTTGTCTCTTTGGGGATCTGATCCCTTCTCATCCAGTGCATGATCTACTCAAACCATAATTGCCACACACTAATCCCGCTTTAAACGCTTTACCCAACCCGTTCTTGTTGATGAACACATTCTTATATTTGAAAAGTTTTTCGATCTTTCGTCAACACTATTAAATGAACTCGCTAATAAATCTATGAATTTTTTACTTCACCGGGGACATACATTAAATAATCTACAAAAAAACTCAAAATATTTCTTTGCAGAGCCGATTCAGTACACGATGACGAGTTCGGAGAGTACGAATACTGATCTGTACAGATCAGTGAAAATTTATTAATAGAAGCAGATTCTCCATATATTGTGTCTTTCGTTTCAAACCAATCGAGCTCAGTTGATATTTCTTGACAAGAATGCTTTAAATATTATAACATTTTTCTTATCGTTTTTTGTTTATCATAGTGTGCATGTATTTATGTGAATTTTTCGTGTAGTAAAAATTTCAATTCAACACAAGTTCTAATATTTTCTGGTGTGTCTCCAGTCTTCTCTCGCAAACGCCTTCTCTCGGAAAGTACCTGCAAACAGCCAACGCATCGATCAATTCGTTTGTTTCTCTCGTTTTGTGAAGTTGTTGTTTAGCATAAGTATTTAGTTTGACAGTCGGCATTTGCAAAAAAACGTTAAATAAAGGAAAAATATTTTTACAGAAAAAATTGCACACCGTTACGTAAAGTTGCACCGGAGTACGGTAGACTGAAGTCTTTGCACGATTTTTTTCAACATTCAAAGTATAATATCCTGACCTTTTCAAAGAATTTTCAATGTAACGCTTCTTTTTCCGTTAGAAGAAAACAATAAATGACGTCTCCGCCTCCAGAAGCCGTCGGTATGCAAAGTGGCGTCACGGTGTTTACACCACCTAGGTTTCCAATAAAATCGAGCTCGAGCTTTGAATTTACCTGAATATTCTCTATGAATGTGTATCCTTGATTAATTCTATTTTCCAGTTTATAAAATCGGTATTTATAAGAAAGACTGACTTATGAAAAAGTCTGAAGCGCCGCCCACGGACAGTGGCTACCCGACACCTCGTGATGATATTCCATCCACGGTAAGCAATCCAATTCAAAACAGAAAAACAATTAATAGTTTCAGTCTCGATCTGGATCGCCGCTAGACAGTTCTCCAGATGAAAACAGTGAAAACAAGTTGACATCGACTCCTATCAGAGGGAATATAAGCCGATCAAGGAGGGAACACTTCACAAAGTTTCAACCCGAACTGTCTATCATCGATTCTACTGCTTCAGATTCAATTACCGTAGAGAATGATTCGAATTACGTTCTTGGTATTGTTCCACAACATTACTACCAAATATCGTTCCCTTCAGATGGGGTCAAAAGCATATTATCAGCGTCGAAAGAGTTGAAGAAAAGGGCTCGCGAGAATGTACTGCTTCGCGACGAAAACGAATCGCTTCGTGGGGAAAATGAATCTCTTCGTGAGGAGAATTGTTCTCTACGGGAAGAGTCTAGACGGATAGATATGGATAGATCGATGGCTGGGGGAAATGTGATTCCAGTGATTCCAAAATTGAAATTGAATGATGAAGATATGGATTCCACAGCTAGCAGTCACCAATTAAAATCCAGCGAGAAAATCAAAAAAGAGCTGCTTTCATTCATCAAAAACGAGGACGAGCGGACTATGATTGAAGCGAAAATGGAGAACGTACGTGGATCACCTGGCTTTAAGCTTTCAAATTTCTATTGAAAATGTTATTGATTTCAGATGATGATTAGTGATTGCAAGCCGCCTGTCAAAGTGTTCACAGCGACTGCTACGATACAAGTTGACACGGATAAAATCGATGCAGATGTTCAAACCGAAACAGATGACCATGTTAATGTTGTGAATGCGAATTTGCAAATTGTTTGTTTTTAAAGTTTTCTTCAAGCATAGAGTGTTGTTACAGGAATTGGATCAATTGCAATCGGAGATTGAAGTGATAGGAAAGAAGAAAAGTGACCTGGAGACTAGATTGTTTGATTATGAGCAAACGAAAGCAAAGTTTGAAAAAGATGAACAGAAATTGAGAGCGGATCTTGAAAAGAAACTGAAATCCAGTCAAGAACAATTGAAACGGTTTGAAACGAAAATTGAAGAGCTCCAAGCTCGTTTAAATAAAAAACGAAAGGAATTTGACGAGGTGGAAGCAGAGAACCGACGACTTCTTGATGACAAAAACACCCATGAGTTTGAGCTCGACGAAATGAAAGTCCATGGGGAACACATAGCCAAACAGAACGAGGACCTCGAAGAGAATATGAAAAAGATGCAAATGAAAATTGATGAGCTGGAAAAAGCTATTGAGGAGGAGAAGGATATGAAGCAGCAGTTGGAGAAAAAGATCGAGGAGATGGCAAAGAATCACAAAAGTTTGATTGAAAAGCTAGATGAAGACGTTGAAAGTGCGTGGCGAAAGGAGACGGAAGCCTTGGAGAAATTGGAGTTGGTGCAATCGGAAAACAAAAGTCTGCAGAAAGAAAACGAGGTAACAAAAACTAGAAAAAAACGTTATCTTTTTTAAAACATGTTTACAGTACCTGAAACAAGCTCAACAAGTTCTTCTAGACAGTGAACTCAATTTAAAATCAGAAGTTGATGTTTTGACAGCCAATTTTCGAAACTGCGAGACTCAGCTGACGCAGAAAAAAGATCAGATTGTAGAAGAGAAGCGTCGGGGGGAGAATTTGGAAGCAGAAATTGGACAGCTTGGAGCCCAAAATCGAAAGGTAAGGTCCTTACCGTAAGGGCGTTTAATTGTTCTCAATCAAATTGATTTTTCAGTTGCTCGACGAGAAACACGATTCAAACGAGTTGCTGGAAGAATTGAAGAAAGGAAAACTCGAAATCGATCACCTTCGACAACAAGTACAACATCTTTCTCGAGAAAGTGAGGAGATGGTTCAGTTGAAAAATGAGCTCAATGAGACGGTGAACAGAGAAAAGCTGGCTGATGAAAAACTGGAAAAGGCGCTGAAAAAAGAAGGAGAACTGGAAGCTAAACTGGAAGGTTACATCCGATCAGAATCCGCTGCGAGAACCGAGTTGGAGCGTTTGAAAGAGGATGATACTGTTTTGAGATCCAACCTGGAAACTGCTCTCCAAGCCGCTCAGGAGAAAGCCTCAGCGTTAGCGACTATAGAAAGAGCTTATGATGAGCTGAGAGTCGAGTTTGAGGAGTTCAGAGGACATGCGAATGCTCAATACGAAAGTGACATTTTTGTTAGAGATCAGCAGATTGAACATCTGCGGGTTCGGTTGTTGGAGCTTGAAACGTATCCGGGACAGACGATTTCTGTATCCAGACGAAACCAGGAAGTGCAGACAGAAGGAGAAGAACCTCAACCAGTAGTCTCCTACGTTCAACAAAGTCCAGAAGTGTCACTTGTTTCCGAAGACTTGATCCCTGCGCATTTGATACGTCTTGAAGAGAAAATCAAGAATACTGTAGAGGGGCTGAAACAAGTCGTTCAGGAGCAACAGGTTGATGATATGTCAGGCGATTTGCAAGCGTCTCCTCTTCATTATGCATCAGAAACATTCAAAAAGTTTGCTGAACTACTAAATTCTCTCCTAGCAAATAGTGAAGACTATGAAAGCGATTCTCAAAAAATTAAAAAATTATGGAAAGCGCTCAATAAGAATATTGTGGATGTGACGACAACGTTGGAGGAGAGATTTGAATTTGTTCGAAGTGAAATGACAAGAAAGAATCATCGAAACGAACAGAAGCTGAGAGATGATATCGAAGAGTTGAGAAAAGATCTAGGTCAAGAAAGAGCGCTCGCCGAGCAACGTGTATACATTGCTAAGCAGTTCAAGGAGCAATATGAGTTAGAAGAACGGGAGAAGGAAGAGCTGCGAGAGGAATATGAACGGCTAGTGGAGCTTCGAAATGAGGATAATGCAGAGAGTGAACGAAACGAGAGAAGTCTTCGAGAGCGGTTGGAGAGAGCAGAGCACATTGTGCAAAAGTAAGAATTCTTATTTATTATCAAAAACAATTAATTCTAAATCATTCATTTTCCAGGCACGCTCGAGACAAGCTCAACCGCACTTATGAGCTTGAAGCTGATGTGGAGGAGTTGACGAATTCTTTGAAAAGAAAGGAAGAAGAGTACCGTAGGAAAATCGCTGAAATGGAAGAAGATGTGCAAGTCTTCAAAAAAGAAGAAAAGAAGAAACGGGCTTATGAGAGATTGACTGCGGAGAAAATGATAAAGGCATACAACATTGTGAAGGATCGGCATGACTACCTTCTCAGGCGAAATAAGGAGCGGCAGAAGCTTCTGGATGATATAATGAAGGCGATGAGGAGCAAAGACGGAAATCAGTTGCGGCAAATCACTGATAATGCCAACAAGTCCGGACTTCTGAACCTCGACGATCAAGAGTCAGTCTCCTTAACCACCGAACGGCGCGTTCTGTCTGAGTCGAACGTCAACCACTAGCCCCAGTTTCTGTGAATAATACTTGTACATCTCAAAACCAAATGCGGGACAAAACATTGATATCAATTACATCGTGTGTATAAACTTTATCGTTTTTTTTGTTATTTTCTTTTTTTATTGAATTTAAAATTAAAATTAAAATTTATTATACTTGGTTTTTGCAGAAATATTTGGTTTTGCAGAAATATTTGGTTATATTTGGTTTTTGCAGAAAGAATTTGTGTGATGCACATAAATACAAATTGAGATTGCAAGTGTTTTAAAGTTGTAAGCGACATCAGGGGAAAATTAATTGAAATTAGAGAGAAGGCTGTAGAATCATCCGCGATTTCCATTGACCAAAGCAATGAGTCCTTCTTTGTATGCGCCAGAGCAGTCTCCCTTGATCATATTCTCGAGAGAAGTACGGTAGAGGCTTTGGAACATGTTTCGAATGTCAGCCATATCGTATTCAGCGCGAGTGACACACAAACGGATCAAGTCGTTGTCACGGGTTCCGAGTCCTGGAAATATAGAAAAAGTTGAATAATTGAAGAGTTTTTTTGAGTGAATTACCTTTCATACTATCGTGAAGAAGCTTGGCAAAGTATGCTGGACGATTGCGAACCACAGCGATCACAGCTAGAAGACCATCTCGGACATCACCACTGAACTCAGCTTCGATGGCTTTCTCGATCGAATGATTCGAAACTTTTTGGTATTCCTCGAAAACCATTCGAAGTTGATTGAAATTTTGACTAGCCAGAATAGCATTGAATGTGGATTCGTCAGTTCCGAGTCTCTTCTCTCCTGCTTGATAGAGACGGCGAGCGTCTTGGTTGGCACGAAGAGGATCCGTTTGATTCGACTCATCACGTCCACCGGCACACAGGGAAACGAGAAGACGTTTGAAGTGTCCGCTAGTTTCTCCGATCAAATCTCGCTCCAAATCTTTTTTGTACAACATTTTGTAAGCATCACGGACTTGCTGAATTTGAGCATTTGTTCTGGATGTCATGATCTCAATCAGAACAGATTCTTTGGTTCCCAAGCCATCCATAGCCTTGTACAGTTGTTTGGCATCGTAGATAGCTGGAGCATCCATCAGAGCCAGTATGAGATCTTCGAAGTCTCCATGAAGCTCTCCTTTCAACTCCTTGATTAAGTCTTTTCCATACATCACTTTGAAAGCTTTCGAGATTTCTTGTCGCTGTCCGTTGGTTCTTTGACACAGAACACTGATCACTTTGGAGTTGTTACATCCTAATCCCTTCATGGCTTTTCGAAGAACTTCCGCATCGGCGTTGGCATTGAATCCAGGGACCGGGAAGAGTGAAGGCGTTCCGATCATTACTGAAAACGATTTAATTGACGGATTAGAATAAGTGGCAACTTGGTCAATGATTGACGACCTTGGAAAGGGGAAGGACAAAATATCGAGAACTATTTGATCAATCAAAAGAGGGCTAAACAATACGAGAGAGAGAGAGAAAGAGGAGAGAGAAAGAGAGAGAGAGAGAGAGAGAGAGAGAGAGAGAGAGAGAGGCGCAGAGTTCAGGTAACATGAAGTGGCTGAGAGCGATTGAACTGTAGGAGGGCTTTACGTGATAATCCATGTTTATTTTGTAAGAGTTTGAAAAATTTGAAAAAAAAACTGAGAGAGAACCTTGAATATGCAAGAAAAAAAGCTGATCAAACAAAAAGGTGTTTTCACTGGAAAAGATCTTTAAAGTCGGGGATATTCAGAACAGAATTCAGAATTCCGAATATTTCCAAACTTTTTTTTCGAAATTAATTTTTTGGACTACTGTATTTCAAAGGCGCACACGAAAAATTTGCTTGCGGGCACCGACCGGAATAGTTTTTAATATTTTTCGAATTGTTTTACCTAATTTTTGGCGCTTTTATGATTGGAAAACGAGATTTATAACAAAAAATTTGAATGTTTGACAAATTCCAAAGACTCCGAAACTCCGAAATTCTTTGAAATTTTCGACATTCTGAAAAATTTCAAAAAACAGATAAATACATACTTTAAGCTTTCTGAATAGTTAGAGCGTTTCTGATACTTCTCAAAGTCTAAAAGTTCAACTGACTTCTTATCAAATAGAATACGATAAGCCATTCATTTAAAATCTATAGATTACTCATTGTGAGTATTCAAAACGGAAACTAATGCCAAACCAATAGTACTAGAATGAACAGGTTTTTCATATTTACGCCCTCCTCCCACTATCCTCAACCCATCCTTTTCTTTTCTATCTCATTCTCTCTCCGCGCCTATTCTCACGCTAACAATTTCGTAAAGCAATTGAAATAGGAATGATGGGGCAAAAGTTTTTGTTGTTTTGTGTGGTGACGTATATGATGAGTCATACCTGGTTGTCCGTATCCTTGATTCGGGAAGAACCCGCCTTGTGGACCTCCTTGTTGGTAACTTTGTTGTGGTGGATAGGATGGTTGTTGGTTATGATGCTGTTGTGGATATCCTGGCTGCTGTGGTGGATAGTCTCCTCCTTGTTGATTTCCAGCGAATCCATACTGTGGTGGTTGTGGGTATCCGGCACCTCCTTGACCTGGATATCCGCCTTGGTTGCCTCCCGGATATGGAGGTTGTCCTCCTCCTCCACTTCCAGGATACGGTGCTTGACCCTGCCCGTATGGATCGTATCCAGCGTTTCCATATCCTGGCTGTTGTGGTGGCATTCCTCTGTAGCCAGCGTTACCATATGGTTGATTTGGGTAGCCTGAAAATAGATTTTTTGAAGTTTTGAGGGTTATTTGAGCTTCAAACCTCCTGGATTCATGTTATAATCTTGCTGTGGGGGTTGGTGATTTGAATTCAAGGACGATGAAGAGTTGTTACTTTGTTGCTGTTGCTGTTGTTTGTTTCCAGAAAGTCCGCCGAGTTTGCTATCCTGAAAATAAATGGCTTCATTAATAAATAATCAAAAACAGATTGCTTGGAAGTTTGGCGCCCTAGAGAGATGATAAACCTAAAGAGACGCAGAAAACTCGAGATGAGCAGAGGTGCTCTCTAGAGAGAGCTCTCCGTACACGTGTTCTTCGATATCGCAGGAAGCCTGGCTGGACAGAAGAAAGGGAGAAAAATGAAGAGATCGGAACGCGAGAGGCAGAATGTGTATGTGTACAAATCGAAGAAGAACAAACATACAAATTGCGTCTGACTCACACAAAAATATAAAAAAAGATATCGAATTCACTGAATTGGGTTTCCGGCGGCGATGTGTCTTTAAAATGATAAGGGAATGATAATAGCAATGAGAGGGTTTTTTTTCAAAAAAAAAAAGAAAAGCATATGACAGTCTAAACAACGGTTTGTCATGTTTTTAATGTCGCGAATTGCGATAGAAGTGAAAAAGCGACCGGAAAGAAAATCTGGGATTATCCTCTTCTGTCCAATTTTTCGAGAATATTTATTTGAAATTCGAATCGAATTGAAGCCCTAATAAATATTCGTTTTCTCGCTTTCCGTTGCTCTTTCGGCAATTTTTCGAAAAAAAAAATTTGGAAAAAATTACAATTCGGCTCGAAATCGATAGGGGACTTTTCGCGTGCGCCTTCAAAGTACTGTAGATTTGCGAGAACTCACCAGGACATCTTGAATTCCGGAAGTGATAAATTTGCGAAGAGACATTTTGAAGTTTCTGAAAAAGCATAAAAATTTTGTTGAGACAAAAAACTCGCTGATAAATTGAAAAATGTTAAAATTGAGCACGGATAAGAGGGGCGGGTAGAAAAGAGAGATTTGAGTGCCTTGCGAGATGACAGCAACTCTCGTTTGGTCTCGGTTAAATACGCACTGTTTTGAGTGGAAACAAAAAAGAAGAGAAGAGGAAAAAAAACATGAGTCATCAAATAGAACCGTCAGGAAAAGGTGTTCGAAAAACTGAGCGAGAAATTGCGAAATGAGACAATATAAGACAATTGGAAGATGAGGTGGATGGGTTGAGCATCTTGTGAAATACATATAAAAAGAAAAAAAGGAAGGATTCATTGGACAAACATTGAAACTTCGGTTGGCCCTGGGTAAATGTTTTGTGTTGTTTAGAAACTGTCATGTGAGTGGCAACCGAGGTAAACTGGCGTGGCAGGTCTTCATGTTTTTTTCTTTCCAAGCAATCGAAGTTCCGAAGAACGATAATATACTGTTGGTTGTTCAGAAGTCATAGAAATTAGGGAGGTGAAAGTACAGTAACCCACGTGAAAGTACAGTAAATCATCCGTGATGTTCGTCCGTGAGGTTCGTCCGTGAAGTTCGTCCGTGAGAATCGTCCGTCAGAAGTTCGTCCGTGAGAATCGTCCGTCAGGTTCATCCGTGATGTTCGTCCGTGAGGTTCATCCGTGATGCTCGTCCGTGAGGTTCATTCGTCAGGTTCCACCGTCAGGTTCATCCGTGATGTTCGTCCGTGAGGT